ATACCCGCTCCCCGCCCATAGTAAAGTTCAGAGCGAGGGTTGGGAGAGGCAGTGATAATGCGCCGTCAGATATAATCATAACAGTTTGCCGTGCGGCATTAGAAACGAAATCCGGATATATATGAGCTCATCATCCTGACGCTGTTATAGGCCGATGTAGATGATACATCTCACATACAGACTTACTTGTCGCTGCTGTGCGTGCGCCATCTCTACCTCGGCTAGTCAGCAGTCTACTGTTATTGGTTAGCATATCAGGCGAACGTACCCCGTCATGTTGACGTAGCCGTGGTTTATTTTACACACGGACTTTAATTGTATCGCATTACAGGCCGACATTAACAAGGCAGTCCAGGCAGCGAAAGATGCATTCAAACTTGGCTCCCCCTGGCGGCGCATGGACGCATCAAACAGAGGAGTGCTGTTAAACCGACTAGCGGACTTAGTGGAGAGAGATAGAGTCTACTTGGCGGTAAGCATCGTCCATGATATACTATGATTACTATACTGGACAAGGCTGTATGCTTCACGCGCGAGGCCAGGTACGCACGCACGCACGCACGCACATATATATATATATATATATATATATATATATATATATCCACACTTATATGTATTTATGTTTTATGTACTTACATTATACACTCATTTTTACTATAGGAATAATGTTTAACATGTTATTTTAATGATGTATTAAGTGTGATAATAATTATCGTCCGGAGTCACTCTACTATATTTCCCTGTGCGCATAATTCCCCAGCACGCGATGCTATTGCAAATCAACACTTACATAATTAATAATTAGTAATATTGCGTAAATATGATTGTTTTCATGGCCTATAATTGCGATTACAACACAATGATCAATGATAATCTATTTCATTTAGAGCTTGGAAACCCTGGATAACGGCAAGCCATACACTGCGTCTTATGCTCTTGATCTGGCGTTAACAGCCAAGGTTTACAGGTAACAAATGTGTGTTTAGTTAACGGAGGAATAATGTTTTATTAAGAAGGAACTTCACATTAACAAGGATTAATTATGGAAGAAACGTATACGTGTTAAATGATAGTTACTCTTTGAACATAGCTTTTTATGTATAAGTCACATTTGCTATCTTTTAATTTTACGTAATTATTACTATAATTATTGTAAAGATTTTGATATGTATGCGAGTGAAGCCTCTGGCTGACTGACTCACTAGTAACTATCGGCATGTTATTTTACTCACTTGTCGCTGCAATGTTGTCGAATAGAACTTACGACCATTATCCCACGTTTCATGCTAAATAACTCGATTGCGAAACCTTTGATCTCAAGATTCGCTTTTGATCCTGAATCATTGCATCTCGCATCTCTTTCTCCTTCCCTCTCGCTCACTTTCTTTCTCTTGCTCTCTCCTTCTCCCCCTTCTCTCTCCCCCTGACTCTCTCTCTCTCTCTCTCTCTCTCTCTCTCTCTCTCTCTCTCTCTCTC